GCTGTGCTATCGCTCCAGCCCAGAGATAGTATTTCATGATATTAAAAATATTTACCTAATTTGAAACCTAATTTTAGCAAAAGCATTAGTAATGTTTCAGCAAGTGAAGGTGGGACTACATTTCTTCCACAGTATGTTTTTTGTTTGGATTTTGAGCCCATTTGTAGGTTTTTAATTTTAAAATAATCAATACATTTTTGGGAGATAATAATAATAATAAAGATTATTTTAGCCCTTATTTCATAGATGGAAAATATCCAAGAAAAATGTGACTACGCATTAAATATATTATCTGGCCAAATTTGTTGGTTTTGTTTTTAGTTTGTTTGTTTTTGTCATACTTAATAGTGCTCAGGACTTATTCCTGGTTTTGCACTTAGGGATCACTCCTGGCAGGGTTCAGGGGAACCACTGAGGTTCTGAGGAAACCAAAGCTCAGGTCAGCCACATGCAAGGCAAGGGCACTATCTGCTGTGCTCTCTCTGGTGAGAACAGATTATCTTTTTAAAGAAATAGAAGGAAACATTTGAAGTTTTAGGAAATCTGAAATAGTCTCATTAAAGTTTTCTATAAATAAAATATTTGGAATTATGTAATTGAAAAAGATTTTTCAAGATAAGAAATGTTAAAAGATTTTATGATAGAAGGCAAAAGTTGTTTTTAGTAGTTAGAAAATTTTTGAGAACTGTAAGGTAGGAACTAGTTTTATATTGCAATTCACATATCTACTGTAGTTCTATATCATATATACACCTGAGGTTGCATACAGATTTCTAAGGTAAGAAGTGCTGAACTTTTTACAAAATTATTTACAATAAAAAAATCCTGTAATTGAGAATAAGCAACCCTCCTTACTTGTCTTGCCCCAACATTATAGATTTTTAATGATATACCTTGACACTCTTTTTCTGTTTTCAATCTCTTAGATTTCTGTTTTTTATCCTTATATCCTCATTTCACTTCTTTGTTTAGTTTACTCTTTTGTTTTATAATTTCTTTAGACAGAAACTTTCTTATTTGAACTCTTTTGTAATATATATATGTTTGGAGTAACCTATACTTTGATATTTTATATATGTGTGTATATATATATTACATCTATATAGTATATTTGTATTCATTGAAGAAAATACCCTAGACCATGTTATATTTTCTTCAACTATTACATCAACAGAAGAGATTGAAAATCCCCAGACCATGTTGCAATTTTTACTAAACTTAAGATTTATTTGAAGCGAAGAGAAGTTCCCTTCCTCCCTCTCTCGCTTCCTCCTTTTCCTTTCTTCCTCCTGGGGTTCTGAGGGTTTACTCGTGATTCTGCTTTCAGGGATCACTCCTGGAAGGACTTGGGGGGACCATATCTGGTGTCAGGGATTGAAGTGTGCAAGGTAACTGCCCTATCTGCTGTACTATCTCTTTGGCCCCATGAGATTTATTTATTTATTTATTTATTTATTTATTTAATTTCTGTTTGGGTTTCATTATGGTGGATGTTCTCCCTCCCTTTATTCCTCCCTCTGTGTGTGTGAGTCTCTGTTTCTGTTTCTGTCTCTGTCTCTCTCTCTCTCTCTCTCTCTCTCTCATCCTCTCTCTCTTCTTCTATTCCTTTTCTTCCCCTTCCCTCTTCTTTTTCTTCCTTTTTTCTCCTTCCTTCTCCATCCCTTTTATTCTTAGCTTTTTGATTTTCCAAATAATTGGAATCTGTTCATTTTATTTTACCCATTGATACATTAACCTTTATTCCTCCCTCTGTGTGTGTGAGTCTCTGTTTCTGTTTCTGTCTCTGTCTCTGTCTCTCTCTCTCTTTCTATTCCTTTTCTTCCCCTTCCCTCTTCTTTTTCTTCCTTTTTTCTCCTTCCTTCTCCATCCCTTTTATTCTTAGCTTTTTGATTTTCCAAATAATTGGAATCTGTTCATTTTATTTTACCCATTGATACATTAATCCCATCAATAGCCCACTTATCACCGGCATTTAAACTCTTGCCTGTCAATTTCTCCCAGCTCATTTTCAGTTTTTTCTCCATAATTTGATGCAATGATCTATTCAGAATACACATCAAATTGTGCTTTTCCTATTCCCTACATTTCAAGATTTAAGAACCACTCATTTAGAAGAAGAAATTATTAATTAGAGTTGCATCTAGTCCTTTTACACTTTTTCCATTATTCTCGTTTTGGTATTCTCTTTCATATAATTTAAATTAGATAATCTTATGTTACATCTACCTCTCCCTTAAACATTTACTGTGATTAAGTTTTAGGCTTGCATGTGAGTATTTGATGAATGTCAGATTCTTATAATAGAGAATTCAAGCAGATACTATGTCTGTGTTCTGTCATTTAAGTTTACTAGCTAGATTATGACTTGGCTTACAGTAGAAAATAGATATTTGTTTTATTAATTAGCTGATCACTGTAAAGAGACATTCATGTTAGCTAGGACAATTGATTTATTTAACATTCATCTTGAACAGTTTTCTAGTCAATTTTGAATTTAGGTCTTCCCATATAATCTGACTTGGAAGATAGATTATTGTGTAATTATTGAATGACAGTTGTGGGGAGGTTTCACATTATACATCAACAAGTTCTATTGATGTGATACACAAATAAGAATTGATAGGAAAAGAAGTGATACAATAGCGGTAGGACTATGCTGACAGAAACCTGCAAGGAGTTGGATTGGATTGGATGGATCTGGAATGATAGTACAGCAGGTAGGGTCCTTGCCTTGGAGACAACTGACATGGCTTCGATTTCGATCCTGGCACCTCACGTGGGTCCCTGAGCCCTGATGGGAATAATCCCTTAGCAAAGAGCAGGAGTAAACCCTGAGTGGTGGGTGTAGCCCAAAAGAGAGAGAGAGAGAGAGAGAGAGAGAGAGAGAGAGAGAGAGAGAGAGAGAGAGCGCATATGAATGGAATAATTGGGTTCTTTTATTTTCAGTGACAGTATATGTAACTTTTCTAGTTAAAATTCCCATTTTGCCTTTATACTCTTAATGCTGGTAGGGTGTTTGCCTTGCACACGGCCAAACGAGGTTCGAGTCCTCCGTCCCTCTCAGGAGAGCCCGGCAAGCTGCTGAGAGTATCGCGTCCTCATGGCAGAGACTGGCAAGCTCCCTGTGGTGTATTCAATATGCCAAACACAGTAACAACAAGTTTCATAATGGAGACTCGAGCAAATCGATGAACAATGGGAGCACAGTGCTACAGTGCTACCCTTTTCACACTCTACCTTAGTAAACAAAGATTATTGCATAGAGTTTGATGTGATGCAAGATTAGGGCAGTAATATTTCTCCTCCCACCTTTGGCACCATCACAATACCGAATCGTTTGCTAAAGGGCTAGAAGAAAGTATCTTCTAATCTTTTCTTCTACACAGAACTACCCCAATTTTGTATTCCATTCAATATTACTATTCCTCTTTTGCTTTCTTTTATGCATAATCCTCAGTGATACTTAAACATAGTACTTGGCAGTCCCCAACCTATTGATAAATAAATATTGGTTATTTGAATGAATGAAGAAATGTTGTGGAATGAATGGATAAATGTCAGAATATGTTCATACTGTAGCACTGTAGCACTGTCCTCCCATTGTTTATCAATTTGCTCGAACGGGCACCAGTACGTCTTACAACAAATTGTGAGATTTGTTGTTACTGTTTTTGGCATATCAAATATGTCACGGGTAGCTTGCCATGCTTTGCTATGCAGGAGAGCTACTCTCGGTAGCTTGCTGGGCTCTCTGAGAGGGGCAGAGGAATCAAACCCCAGTCGGCCACATGCAAGGCAAACGCCCCACTTGCTGTGCTATATCACTTCAGCATTTTTTAAATAGAAACTCTTAGCGATATTTGGTCCAGTAGTTTGGGCTTGTTGGTTCTATGCTCAGATTTAAGGATGCAGTGCTGCTCTGACCTGGCAGTAACCGGGGAAGTGTGTGGTGACAGAGTTGGAACCCAGGGAGTGACACATGTAAGGAATGCATTCCATGCCTTTGAACTATCACCATGGTCCCAAAATTGTCATCTTTTAATAATTTAGATAATGTGAGGAAATGATTGGTTCCATCTTATAAATACCTAAACATGGAAATCTTCAGAAATTGGATTACTATATCTGAAATGTTTATGGCAGACAAAATGAAGATAACAAAACTGAAGTTAGCTTTTATTACATGATGAGATATATATTTCAATATAAGAATAATTGTAGGCTGAGAAGACAATTCAGACATTGATATTATTTGAACTTTATTTTAGAATTTTGCACTGTAAAATAGTTCAGAACTCTAAAAATGAAACTATTTCATTTCTATATTATCATAGATTTTAATTTAGAAAAATTGAATCAGTAGGTTATACTTATTGCAGTCAAATGCTGTATTGGGCTGGAGCAATAGCACAGTAGTAGGGCATTTGCCTTGCACGCAGCTAGCCCAGCTGAGCCGGGTTCGATTCCTCCGCCCCTCTCGGAGAGCCCTGCAAGCTACCGAGAGTATCTCGCCTGCACAGCAAAGCTACCCATGATGTATTCAATATGCCAAACACACTAACAACAAGTATCAAATTAGAGACATTACTAGGCCCGCTCGAATAAATAGAATAATGGGAGGATAGTGCTACAGTGCAGGTTATACTATAAATTTTGTTGTTTTAAATCGAGATGTCTAGAAAATATTTTTCTACTTTTGAATTTATGTAATTAAATATCATCTGTTGGTTTCCATGTTTTAATAAGGTTTGTAGTAAAGTGTGGGCTGTAGTGTCAGACAAATTTGAGGCTTTTTCCTTAGTATGCTATAGTTTAGTGAGAAAATTACTCAACTACTTAGCTCCTAGTAGAATCTTAAGTAAAGTGGAGATGATACCTAACATAAGAGGTTTTTGGGAGGATATAATAAATTAGTATATAAAAACTGCTAATTACTATTGAGGCTATAATAGCTGTCTAGTAATTGAAAACTATTTTTTACCTTGTGTTTTGTTCTGCAGCTTTCCCTACAAATAAACCAGATAATGATGCAAAGCATGTCATAAAAGTGGTATGTATTGATCTCAAATTTGATTTCAATATACTTTATCTTTTATTCTTTATTTTTGTAATATTTCTCATCCTAATTTTAATATTTTAAATTAACCTATTTGGTATTGATACCTACCATCCTTTTTAAGTTTTTTTATTTATATTTTTATTAGGGAAACACCTGAGGTACAGTTGTAGACTTACAAACTTGGTTGGTTGGGTTTCAGTTATACAATGTATACAATTATATCAGTTATACAATGACTCATCCCTTCACCAATGATCCCAGTAGCTCTCCCACCCCCCACCCCAACCCTCCCACCCCACCCCACCTCTGTGGCAGGGCTTTTCCTTTTGCTCACTCTTTCCTTTAGGGTGTTGTAGTTTGCAATAGAGATATTGAGTGGCCATTGTGTTCGGTTTATAGACTAGTTTCAGCATGCATCTCACATCTCAAGCGAGTCCTCCAAACACCTTTACTTGGTGTTTCCTTCTCTATCTGAGCTGCCTTTTCCCCCAGCATGTGCTGCCAGCTTCCAAGCCGTGGAGCAGACCTCCTGGTACTTAATTATTGTTGGATGTTCGACTCCCATTCTGTTACTTTATATTCCCCAGATGAGTGCAGTCTTTCTATGTCTGTCCCTCTCTTTCTGGCTCATTTCACTTAGCATGATATTTTCCATGTAGAACCAGTTGTATGTAAATTTCATGACTTCATCTTTTCTAACAGCTGCATTGTATTCCATTGTGTAGATGTACTAAAGTTTCTTTAACCAGTTGTCTGTTCTCGGGCATTTGGGTTTTTTCTAGATTTTGAACAGTTTAGCAATGAACATAGATGTCATTTCAATTGTACTTTTTTGCCTCTTCGGGATATATTCCCAGGAGTGGATATTTCTGGGTCAAATGGGAGCTCAATTTCTAATTTTTTGAGAATTGTCCATACTGTTTTCCAAAAGGGCTGAACCAGTCGTCATTCCCACCAGCAGTGAAGGAGGGTCCCTTTCTCGCCACATCTGCGCCAACACTGGTTGCTTTTGTTCTTTTGGATGTGGGCCAGTCTCTGTGGTGTGAGATGATATCTCATTGTTGTTTTGATCTGCATCTCCCTGATGATTAGTTATGTAAAGCATTTTCTTATGTGCCTTTTTTGGCATTTGGATTTTTTCTTTGAGAAATTTTCTGTTCATTTCATCATCCCACTTTTTGATGGGCTTGGATGTTTTCTTCTTGTGGAGTTCAACCAGTGGTTTGTATATCCTTGATATTGACCCCTTGTCAGATGGGTATTGGGTGAATATCTTTTCCCATTCTGTATATTGTCTTTGTATTTTGGTCACTGTTTCTTTTGAGTTGCAGGAGCTTCTTAGTTTAAGATAGTCCCTTTTGTTTATCTCTGTTTTCACTTGCGTGGCCAGTGGCATGTCATCTTTGAAAATACCATTCTCGTCAATGTCGTGGAGGGTTTTGCCAAACTTGTCTTACCTTACGTATAAAAAAAAATGACCTTCACTGTCCCTTCTAATCTTTTTCAACCTGAAATCTATGTTGTCCGATATTTGTAAGGCCACTCCAGCTTTGTTGAGGGATTTATTTGTTTGCAGTGTTGTTTTCCATTCTTTGACTTTGAGTCTATGTTTGTTGTGATTGTTCAGATGTTACTTGTTTGTTGGGTTCTGTCTCTGAGTCCATTTTGCCACTCTGTGTCTCTTAATTGGTGAATTTAGACCATTGATATTGAGAGAAATTATTTTTATCGGGTTTTGTATCATCTTTCTGTAAGGGTTTGTTGTGCTTGTAGGGGTTTTTCTAGTCTTATAGTAGCCCCTTTAGCCCTTCTTTAAGGTTTGTTTTTGAGTCTATGAAGTTTCTTAGCTGTTGTTTATCCATAAAATAGTGTACCATTCCTTCAAGTTTGAGTGAGAATTTAGCCGGATATTCTTTTTTTTTTTTTTTTTTTTTGCTATTTGGGTCACACTCGGAGATGCTCAGGGGTTACTCCTGGCTCATGCACTCAGGAATTACTCCTGGCGGTGCTCAGGGGACCATATGGGATGCTGGGAATCGAACCCGGGTTGGCCATGTTGGCTGCATGCAAGGCAAATGCCCTACCCACTGTGCTATCACTCCATCCCCTGGATAAAGTATTCTTGGTGAAGCATTCATTTCAGTGAGTTTTTTTCACTATATCCCACCATTGCCTTCGGGCTTGAAGGATTTCCTCTGATAGGTCTGCTATGAATCTAAGAGGTGCTCCTTTGTATGAGAGTTCCTTCTTTGATCTTGCTGCTTGCAGTATTGTGTCTCTATCAGTGGCATCCATCATTTTAACTATGATATGTCTTGGAGTGTTAGGGACTCTTTTAGCTGGCACCCTTCAGGCTCCTTGACTCTGGATGCCTGCATTGTCCAGCTCTGGAAACTTTTCAACAGTGATCTGTTTAACCGTGGCTTTTTCAATGAGACTGTTTCCCTGACTTTCTCGTACTCCAATGATTCTAATGTTGTTCCTCTTGGAATCATCCCCTAGAACTCTAATTCGCTCTAGAGCTATTTTGAGGCCTCTGGCCATTGTTTTTTGTTGCCTCTAGGCTTCCTGCATCTCATCTTCCTGCTCACTGATTCTGTCTTCAGCTGTAGCCATTATACTGTTGACGGCACACACTGAGTTTTTTATTTCATCTACCAAATCTTTTATTTGTGACATTTCTGTGCGTAGCTTTCCAATTTCTGCTCTCATTTTCTTGGTGGTTTCTTTCATGTCCTCCTTTAATTTACTGGATATCTGTCTCACTTTTTCATTGAGTTCATTGAACATTACTTCATATCTGAATTCTTTCTCAGAGAGCTTCCTTAAGTGAGTAACACCTAATGATGATTCTGGACTCTTTTTATCGTCCTCTCCTCGGGGTGGGGATTTACGTTGTTTCTTCATGTTGGTGTGGTGGTATGGAGACTGAGATGTTACACAAGATTGCTGAGTATGAGTAATTACCTGCAGCTAGGCCCAGAACTAGGCCACGTCCACTTCTGGAGAGGCCACGCCCCCTCTGGGTACCTGATATATGTGGGGAGTACAACCTGGGAGGGGAAGAAGACCGGGCACGGGGATGGGGATGAACAGGAAGAGGCTCAGTGATGGTGGGCAGCCCAGGGTCCCAGAGGATGTCTGGGGCGCATGCATGGGGAAAGCAGAATCCTGGATTGGGATATGTACTGACCTGGGAGGGGAAGAGGACCAGGCATGGCATTCACCTACCATCCTTTCAACTTTTCTAGCCAGCTATCTCTTGGACTCCTTATCTGATTTCTATCTTCCTTACTCTATATTATAATATCTTTAAAGGCAGAGTTGAGGTCCTACATTTCTTAATATTTCTTGTGCCTCAGTGAACTTAATGCTTCAGTGAATTAAATACAGAATACACTTAGTGAAGTTATTGTGTGTTACTGAAATACCTCAGTTTGCATTGTTTACACTCTGGTGCTCATATTGGTACATATGTCATGTATGTTTGCAATTCTCATTGCTTTTAGTATGTTCTTTTCAAAAGAAATTTTTTTCATGTATTAAACTTTGTAGACATGGTATTATACATTGAAATTTTAATGAAGTTCTTCAAGTTTAGTGTTGAGGTCATATAGTAGAAATATGGTACCAGTGTTTATAAATAATAATTCAAGTAGTATTATGTTTATTTGTAGTAACATTTTCACAGGTGAATAACTAATTTTATCTTTAATGTAAATTTTCTTAATAACTAATGAAATTTAATTATTTTATAGGAATATCAAGAAAATGGTCCATTATTTTCAGAACTTAAATTTTATCAAAGAGCTGCAAAAAAAGAGTGTAGTAAGTACAATTAGTAAACCAAACTACTTCTGTATATGTATATGTGCTTCCTAATGTGAGTGTTGTTATGTTTCTTTGGATCTCTAGAAAAAAACTTTTAATTAGAAATTTTATTGTACAATGGTAGTTAACTCTGATAACATAGACAACTTTGATTTTGCATTTTTATTTTTTTAGTGAAAATAATTATTATTATTATATCATTATTATAATTATTAGTGAAACATCATGAGGTACAGTTGTAGACTTATAAACTGGTGCTTGGGTTTCAGTTATACAATGATCAAGTACCCATCCCTCTACCAGTGTCCATTCTCCACCACCAATGATCTCAGTAGCCTTCCCACCCCCCACCCCAAACCTCCCACCCCACCCCACCTCTGTAGCAGGGCATTCCCTTTTGCTCAGTCTTTCCTTTAGGGTGTTGTAGTTTGCAATAGAGGTATTGAGTGGCCATTGTGTTCGGTTTATAGACTACTTTCAGCATGCATCTCACATCCTAAGCAAGTCCTCCAAACATCCTTTACTTGGTATTCCCTTCTCTATCTGAGCTGCCTTTTTCCCCAGCATGTGCTGCCAGCTTCCAAGCCCTGGAGTAGACCTCCTGGTACTTATCTCAACTATTGTTGGGTGTTCGACTCCCATTCTGTTACTTTATATTCCCCAGTTGAGTGCAGTCTTTCTATGTCTGTCCCTCTCCTTTTGGCTCATTTCACTTTAGCATGATATTTTCCATGTAGAATCAGTTGTATGTAAATTTCATGACTTCATCTTTTCTAACAGCTGCATAGTATTCCATTGTGTAGATGTACCAAAGTTTCTTTAACCATTCGTCTGTTCTCGGGCACTCGGGTTTTTTCCCAGATTTTGGCTATTGTAAACAGTGCAGCAATGAACATAGAAGTACAAATGTCATTTCGACTGTACTTTTTTGGCTCTCTGGCATATATTCCCAGGAATGGTATTGCTGGGTCAATTGGGAGCTCAATTTCTAATTTTTTGAGAATTGTCCATACTGTGTTCCAAAAGAACTGAACCAGTCGGCATATATATATATATATATATATATATATATATATATATATTTAAAATCAGAGTCGTTACCTTTATTTTATAAAGCTAAGGTCCAAGAGTTCTATAAATTTAAAAGATGAAATGCTTTCATTTATAAAAAAGCATCTGTATAGGTAAGATGTAAGGGAAAGATACTAAAATGGGTAGTAGGTGTAAAAATAAAAGATTTGATTATAGAATGAATTAAGTAAAATATATAAAAGTGATTAAACATTTGGATTAATTAGAAAATAAAATTAAAGTGTTAAAAAATTGAATGTTGGGGAATTGGAGCTATAATCTAATAAGAGGTAAGAACTATTAGTAAGACAATTTGAATGTGAAATGAGTATGAACAGAGTCAAGAAAGAATAAAAATATTTTATAAATACTATATGTGTGGATGGACTACATAAAGGAGATTGATATGACTAGCACTTTCAAGGTCCTTTATGGTTAGGAGAAAGAATGATGTCTAGAATCAATACTTAACGCATATTCCTTAATAACACCATCTAAACATTGATTATGGTCTTTACTGTTTCAACTATGTCATAGTAACAAATACAATCCATAAAATTTTATTGTTTATCAGTTGGGTTGTCTTAAACATTAGACATATATGGTAGAAAAGTGAAAAACTAAGTACGGTACCTGGTAATTTAAGTATATTTGATGTTTTAAACAAAGTTTAATTAAAAAGTTCCATATAACAAATTCAGAATAAAATCGTTTTCATGTCTGATTTCTATTTTTTTAATATTATGGCTTTAGATTTTTAACAGGAAAAGAAGACATTTCCATACTGATTGTTTGGTAGTATATGGTTAGTTAAAAATTTAACAAGTGTACAAAAGAATATTTTTTTTAATGAATAGAAACATTCATGAATTTTATGAGATTGTGATACTTTGTTTATTATTTATTTCATTTTTAAATTGCTGGATATATTTTTGTATTATATATAGTGTTTTCCATATAAAAGTTTTTTATATATTTATATGTAAATGTTTTATATAAATGTTTATCTTTTAAATTTTCTAGAAAGCTTTAATTTTGATTAAGGATATTAGCTCAATAAGGAAGTATCTCTGGGAAAGTGGGAAGTATTTTTCTAAAATAATGTTAAATTTATCTTTGCAGTGAAAAGATGGATAGAACTGAAACAACTTGATTACTTAGGAATTCCTTTATTTTATGGATCTGGTATTACTGAATTTAAGGGAAGAAGGTAAAGTGGAATTATTATATAAAATATGTCCTATGACTATCATTTATGTGGTCTTTTGGGTATATGTTGACATATAACAAATTACCCTAAACATAAGTGTTGCAAAATACCTTGAAAATTTCCAATTTTCATGCATCAGGAATCCATAATTAATTTACTGAGTTCTATCTCAGGACTTCTCCTGAAGTGGTGTAGTCTGCGTCTGTGTCTGTGAGGCTAAAGTTATGCCAGGGTTCAACTAGGGAAGGATTTGCTTTCAGGGTCACTCATGTCATGTGGCTGTTGGCACACCCAATAAAATATGCTTCTAAATTTACTCATGTGATTGTCCACAGGTTTCAAATCCTTATCAGGTGAGTCTTTCCATAGACAACATGAATGTTTAAAGACATGATGGTTTGTTTCCTCTAGAAGAAAAAGTGGTGGCAGTGAGAGGGTTGTGGGAATAGGAGGGAAATGGGGAAGGTAGGGAGAATAAGAACACATACCTGCATTCAAGATCAGTTTTTATAGTTTAAATCAGAATTAATATCCCCATATTTTTATTGTACTCTTAGCTAGGAGTCCTTAAAGAGGAGAGAATTTACTAAACTCTCTCTTGGGGAGAAACACAACTGTAGGATAATATTGGTTTGTCCTTCCTCCCTGACTGCTGGGGGTTTGTGTTTGTTAATTGACCCCCCAACTTGACCGTTGTTGGCTTTGTCTCCTGATCGGACTCTGACTTACAAATATTATCTTTCTCTTCTCCTTAATGTCCTTTGCATGTTAGTTATTTCAGAGCAATTGCTTTTGTATGGGCACAGGAAGACAGTTAAAAAGACAAGGCTGTGGATTGGGAGTTGATTGACTCCAGATAATAGTACCTCCTGGACATCTGCTCTTGACTTAAGTCTTACTTCCTAGATCCCCCAAGCAGTGTCCCAACAAGGGACTGGATGGACCCAGGGCAAGCTCTGAGGTAGCTACCCTGGCATTGAAATGGACCTGGCCAAAGTGCCATAATGCTTAACTATAAGTTAAAAGCTCGGTCTTGGACAAATTCTGTCATGATCCAAAAGAAATAACCAGATTTGGACCCTGCGGGGGTTAAGAATGATTGATCCGGCTTGAGCACTGTAGTCTGAGTCTGTGGTGAGATATCTCCAGGAGAGTCACCTGAAACCCTAAAAGTTGTTACTTTTTAAAAAAGTTGTTACTGTGTCAGTACAGAATGGTAAATATTAGGAAGGAGAATTAAAGATGTTAATCAAGTTGCAGGTCTAGGGTGAAGAGAAACACAACTTAAGGGCTGTTTTGCCCTTGTGGGCTGCAGGTGGTCGGGAAGACTGGGAAAACATTTTGATTGCACTTCCCACGGGCAGGCGTAATTGGGGAGGTATGAGAGAGAAGAAATAAAAGTGGTTGCTGGGAGAAAGGAGGGATTGACCGAGGAAGACATAGAGACAGAGAGGACAGGAGAAGAGAGGAGACACAGAGAGAGACAGGAGACAGGAATAGATTGAGAGAGCTCGAGGAAAATTGAGGGAAGAGACAGAGACAGAGAGAAGAGACACAGAGTTATAGGAGAAGGTTGCGAGTTAGAGAGAAGGCTGAGAGCTGAGAGTAAGAGTGGCTGGGGAGATTGGAAAGGAGTCACGGAGAGCATTGTAGAGCAAGTTAGAGAGAGTTGGAGAGGAGTTTTCACAGCCCACGAGAGGAAATTTCACACACAACAATGACTTTCTACAACTGCTTTTAAAGCTACCAAATATGACTAGTTATTGCATGTAAATCAGTCTGTTAGTTATCCATTTTTTCTCTTCAATAACCTTTTAAATCTAGATGATCTATTTATTTTGTAGGTAAGTAGATTAACTCCCAGGTCAGTGTTTTTGCATATGTTCTTTAAATGTTACAAACGAAAAGAAAATATTTAAATTATAGATTATTGGGAAAAGTATGTTGAAGAAAAATACATCTAGAAAAGACCAGGCTTTTTAAAAACAAAGTCAAAACTAAATTGTATGTGTATAGATAAATAATTGTGGCTGGTAAGTGAAAGGGTTGGAGCGATAGCACAGCAGGTAGGGCGTTTGCCTCACATGTGGCCAACACAGCTGAGCCGAGTTGGATTCCTCCGCCCCTCTTGGAGAGCCCGGCAAGCTACTGAGAGTTTCTCGCCCGCGCAGCAAAGCCTGGCAAGCTCCCCGTCATGTATGGGATATGCCAAACACAATAACAAGTCTCACAATGTTACTGGGCCCGCTCGAGCAAATCGATGAACAACGGGAGGACCGTGACAGTGACAGGTAAGTGAAGAGGCAAACAAGAAAAGCAAGTGATGCATTAAAAAACAGACATGTTGAAATGTATAAAGTATATATAATTCTAAAAGCTCAAGAAATACACAAACACGAAATTGTATGGACAATGATTTGTTTAATCCCAAAAGATGAGAAAGATGATGGAGTAAAGATAAATTAGATTATTTATCAGTAGATATTTAATTTAGAAAGAGTACTTTTTTGTTATTAAAGACTAGTTCTTTGGTCTGACTTTTTTTTCCTTTTTTTTTTTTTGCATTTCGGGTCACACCTGGCGATGCACAGGGATTACTCCTGGCTTTGCACTCAGGAATTACTCCTGGTGGTGCTCAGGAGACCATATGGGATGCTGGGAATCGAACCCAGGTTGGCCACATGCAAGGCAAACGCCCTACCCGCTGTGCTTATCACTCCAGCCCCTGGCCCAACATTCTTTTCTACTGAAAACTAATTATAAAGTAAATACTGAGTAAAAGAATAGTAAGATTAATGCATATTCATTCAATGGGTCAGATTGCATCATAAGTTGTTGTTAGGTTTGGAATATTTTTTCATGAATCAAATTTGTTAATCATTTCGTGCATTGCTATCTTAAGATCCTTTTGCTGTCTCTTACAGTTACAGATTTATGGTAATGGAAAGACTAGGAATAGATTTACAGAAGATTTCAGACCGGAATGGCACTTTTAAAAAGTCTACTGTCCTGCAGCTCGGTATTCGAATGGTAAGAAGAAATAACTGATTTTCACATGCTCCATTTTCAGATTATTTGCCTATTACAATATACAAATCTTTTCCCTTTGTACAATTATGAGAAAATGAAGGATTATTGCCCTGAAAATGTCAGTTATTGAAAATAGAGGCTATTTTGGCAAAATTGATAACAGTGGGCTCTGTAAGTGACAGAATGTACTGTGTTTGGCACTACAAACTCCATTAGGCATTGGTTCTACAGTTTGATATTTTTCCTCCCAGCATTTTTATGTATCAGATCAAGTGTGCATTATGTAAGTAAACTCTTTATCATTTATATTTTTTAGCAATGTAAACTACAGCAAAATATGTTATTTTTTATACTAAACATGTGATGGTATGGGGGTACTATAAAGTTTTTATAGTGAGTTTGGGATAGTGGCAATAATTAGTGTGGTAATGAATAATACATACTTTGCCAAATAAGAAGCAATAAAATCTTAATAGCACCCATGCACACACTTTGTTTATACCACATATTTGTCTTATCTTGTTTGTGTTTCATTTGCCTAAGTTCCGTTTTATTTTTTCCATTTTAAGTAGAATAAAACTACTCGTGCCAGGTTGGTATGTGGCAAATAGAACCCATTAATATTCTCATTCTTCCATTCATTCATCTAGCCAGCCAGCAAATGTTTTTTGAGCACACGGTATAAGTTATATGCTCAAGGGCTTCAAAAATGAAGTTAAGAAGTATTACGTGGGGTAAAATGCGTTCCTCCGTGCACTGGACTTGGTGTTTTATATTAAGATTCTCTAAAACTGATTTGTAATTATTGTTTGGTAAGAAACTTCAGAGTGAATTTTATGATTCTTTTACAATCATCTCTAACTGTGATTTTTTTTTCTCTTTTCTCAATTCATAGGTATGAATTGGCTATTAGATTGTCAGGATCATAGGCATTGTTCAACTTTTGTTTCTTTCCATTTGAGGTTGAATTAAAACATGAGTCTTGGGGATTAATTCATTCAGCTAAGATTAACTTCCCTAGGATGAGTGGCCAGTCCTTGTCATATTTTAGAATAGATCCATGATTGTGAAAAACTTTTGTCATTATTATATAAATCTTTATTCAGGATGTTCAAGATCATGAGTGCTACATAAACATTAATTTAACTATAATATTATGTATTTCCTTTTACAGTTGGATGTACTGGAATATATACATGAAAATGAGTATGTTCACGGAGATATAAAAGCAGCAAATCTACTTTTGGGTTATAAAAATCCAGATCGGGTAAATATATTACTAAGCTCTTGCATGCATCAAGAATGTTCAATTAGACATTCAAAACTCTATTTTGTAACTCAGAAAAATATACAAATCAGGACTTAACCTAAAGACTTTTGTCATTTATTTTATATTTTGTATCTGATTAAATCTTTGCGATAGCACTGTAGCACTGTCCTCCCATTGCTCATCGATTTGCTTGAGCGAGCCCAGTAATGTCTCCATTTTGAGACTTGTTGTTACTGTGTTTGGCATATCGAATACGTCATAGGTATCTTGCCAGGCTTTCCTGTGCGGGCAAAATACTCTCTGTGCCTTGCCGTGCTTTCCGAGAGGGGCGGAGAAATCAAATCCGGCTTGGCCCAGCCAGCCACGAGCAAGGAAAACGCCCTACCGCTGTGCTGTTGCTCCAGTATTTTCAGTAAATTAACAATTAATTAGGATAAGGAAACTGAAAATCAAAGGTGTTAAATCATTTAAAAGACATAATTGAGAAGTGGGTGGGAAGAATTTGAATTTTTGCGCAAATATAAAGATTCATCAGAATCTAATGGGAGAGGTATTGATTATTGGGAAATAAAGTTTGTCACATTAGTTCATCTTTCTCTGTGTAAACAGTTAAGTTTTGGATAAGAAAGCATTTCTTAATAGTATTTTCTGTGATGGTGAAAAGCTTCCATATGTTACTAAGCAGAATAGTAGCCCTTTGCTACATGTGACTATTCAGACTTGAATTGTGGCTAGTATACCCTCAAAAGCTGATGAGGATGTGGAGCAAAAGAAACTCATTGCTAGTGAGAATGCATATTTGGATAATCACTGAAAACTTATATCCACAAAATGAGAAACCATTATTAATGTATTGTAAACCACCGAACTAATTAAAAAAAAAAAAACCCTTGTATCCATAGAAAAATCTATGCGCAGGTTTTTATAGCAACACTGTTCTTAAGTGCAAAAACTTGGAGACAACCAAGATATTCTGCAGTGGGTGGATGGATGAATAAATAAACTGTGGTACATCTGGACAATGAAATTTTATTTACCTTAAAAACTGTCAAGCCATGAAAAGAAATAGAGAAACAGTAAATAAATACTAATAAGTGAAAATAGCTGATTTCAGAGATTGCAGGTTTGGCTGCATGCAAGGCAGATCCCTTAAGCTCTGTGTTTTCTCTCTTGTCTCAAGGAAGAAAATTTCTAGATAAAATTATTTAGAAGATATAACACTAATAGAAAAATTTGATAAATTTCAAATGTATGTATATAAAAATTTTATGAAAGGTAACTGAGAAACTGGGAAATATATTCTTTCTTTTGATTGTGTCTGTGATGTTTTATTTTCAGTTGAAATGTAAATTTAAAAAATTCAGTACAAATTGATAAATTTTTGTTTACTATGGATATTGAGTCACAGTTCATAACCACGGTTATGAATCATAACCCTGTCCTTAGGTTTATGTGAGTTGTTTTAAGATTTCATTTTTACATTTTCATTTTATTTACTTATAATATTTTGCATTACAGGAGAACAGACCAAATTTTCTGTTTTCTAAATGGTTTTTCCCACACTATTTATTTTTTGTTTCTTTAGGGCCACACCCGGCTGTGTTCAGGGATTACTCCCGGCTCTGAGCTCAGGAATTATTCCTGAAGGTGCTCATGAGACCAGATGATATGCTGGTGATTGAACCTGGGTTGGCTACATGCAATGCAGATAATACTTTGCTTTGGGAACATCGCTCTGGTCTCATTGCTTTTTTTTTTAAAGTCTTTTCTTCATTGAGATTCAGTGCCATATTATCACAGTTTAAATTGCCACATGTACCTGAGTTTATTTCTGTATTTCTCATATATTCCTATAGAAATAGAAATATATAAGAAATATTGGTTGGCCTGCTTACACTTTGATGCCATATTGTGTTAATTTCTAAGACTTTGTAATGCGTGTTAATGTAGCTGTTAAAAATTGTAGTTTTAGTAAACTTTGTTGCTTCTTTTTTCAGCACTTTTTTATCTTTATATAAAAGTATATAAAATATATAGAAATATTTTTCTATGTATATTCTCTTAGTCACATTTTTTATGTATTTTTGTTGAGGATTATTTAAAAAAATACTGGGCATTTTCTTTAGAGAAAATCTGGAATCTTTATAATGCTAAAATATCCTAATCAAGAGCAAGGAGTATTTTCCAATTTTATCAGCTTTACATTTGTGTCTTCTGGAATATTTAGACCTTTTCTCATAAATAGTTTTTCTTTTCATGAGGTGGGGTTGGGGGTCTCCCAAGTGGTACTCAGGAGACCTGGGAACCTCTCCCAGTGATTATCAGATAACCAGGCTAGAGGTTCAATGTGAGGGGCCACGAATGTGGTGCTGCTTGGTCCTTGCTATGCCAGGCATTGCTTGGGCCACACTAGCAATGCATTGGGTCTCCAGCGCACAATTGCGATGCATGGGGGACCATGATTGATGCATGGGGGATGCATTGATGCATGGGGAGCCAGAGATTGAATTTGGGTTGACTACAGGAAAAGGTTTCTCTCTCTAGTCTCACACATAGTTTTTGTATTTTTTGCTTATTCCTAAATATTAATCTATTCTAATTGATTTTGTGAGTTCAGTTTTGTTTTACCATCTTATCTTCTTAATGATTATATGTATATAAAGTTTGTTAATTTCTGTGACTTTTTATTTCCTATTTACTGAATTATTTGTAATAACTTTCTAGATATTTCTTAGGAGACTTACATACAATAAACAAATAGGTACAGTTTTTCTTATTTTCCAGTTCTTATATTAACTGTTTTTTTCTAACTGCATTGTCTAGTGTGCCTATTAATTGAACAGCTGTATTGGAATTAATGGTCATCATTACCTTCTGCTCATCTTAGTGGCAATATCCCATTAAATGTGGTGTTAGCTTTGGGATTATGGTGTTGCTTACATGTATGAATTATATGCAAATGTCTATGTTTATATTCATGTTCATGACATAATCATCAATTTCTATGTGTTTTTTAACTTCATGAACTGAATATTCTGTCAAAATCTTATATATTTTTCTTGAATATAATCTTTCCCTCAGATATATCTGAGTGCCTCTAACATTGGATCATTATATCCCAATTTATTATGTCATATAGTTTTAAATATAGTTTAAAATATGTTCACAAATATATAGCACCTTCATATCGTTAATTGTAAGTAATGGTGGTCTGTAACTTTTTTTTAAATTTAATTTTTATTAGTGAAACACTATGAGGTACAATAGTAGACTTACAAACTTTTGTGCTTGGGTTTCAGTTATACAATGATCAAGCACTGATCCTCTACCAGTGCCCATTCTCCACCACCAGTGATCCCAGTAACCCTCCCATCCCACATCCACCCCAATCCACCTCTGTGGAAAGGCATTCCCTTTTGCTCTCTCTTTTCTTTAGGGTGTTGTGGTTTGCAATAGAGGTATTGAGTGGCCATCATGCCCGTCTACAGTCTACTTTTAGCATGCATCCCCTATCCTGAGCAGGTCCTCCAAACATCCTTTACTTGGTGTTCCCTTCTCTATTTGAGCTGCTTTTTCCCCAAGCATGTGCTGCCAGCTTCCAAGATGTGGAGCAAACCTCCGGGTACTTATCTCAGCTATTCTTGGGTGTTCGACTCCCATTCTGTCACTTTATATTCCCCAGATGAGTGCAGTCTCTTTCTATGTCTTTCCCTCTATTTCTGACTCATTTCACTTAGCATGATACTTTCAATGTAGAACCACTTATTTGCAAATTTCATGACTTCATCTTTTCTAACAGCTGCATAGTATTCCATTGTATAGATGTACCATAGTTTCTTTAATCTGTTATCTGTTCTGGGGCACTAGGGTTTTTTCCAGATTTTGGCTATTGTAAACAGTGCAGCAATGAACATAGAAGTGCAGATGTCATTTCGACTATACTTTTTTGCCTCTCTGGGATATATTCCCACGAGTGCTATTGCTGGGTCAAATGGGAGCTCAATTTCTAATTTTTTGAGAATCGTCCATACTGTTTTCCAAAAGGGCTGAACCAGTCGGCATTCCCACCGACAGTGAAGGAGGGTCCTTTTCTTGCCACATCCATGCCAACACTGGTTGCTTTTGTTCTTTTGGATGTGGGCCAGTCTCTGTGGTGTGAGATGATATCTCATTGTTATTTTGATCTGCATCTCCCTGATGATTAGTGATGTAGAGCATTTTCTCGTGTGCCTTTTAGCCATTCAGATTTCTTCTTTGAGAAAAATACTGTTCATTTCATCACCTTATTTTTTGTTGGGGTTGGATGTTTTCTTCTTGTGGACTTCAACCAGTGCCTTGTATATCCTTGATATCAACCCCTTATCAGATGAATATTGGGTGAATATCCTTTCCCATTCTGTAGACTGTCTTTGTATTTTGGTCACTGTTTCTTTTGAGGTTCAGAAGCTTTCTAGTTTAAGATATTCCCATTTGTTTTTTATCTCTGTTTTTACTTGCTTGGCTATTGGCGTGTCATCTTTGAAGATACCGTTAGCTTCAATGTCGTGGAGGGTTTTGCTGATCTTGTCTTAAATGTACCTTATGGATGTAATTTTTATACTTAGTAGTCTTTCGGTTCATGAAAAGAATTTGGAAGCTGTATTAATTTTTTTATTTTACTTTTTTAATGCTCTATAGTAACATTGATACAGTTTGGGTTTTGTATGTGAAAGCATTGATTCTGCTGCTTTTCCCTGAAGTAGTTTTCTTTAACTCTCTACATGAAATTGATTATCTAAGCTTATTCATCTATGGCCAGATAAATGTAAGAAGTTACCATCATTCTAGTTTTTCACAAGTGTTGGTGTTGTGATCTGCATTTTTGTGTCTCTTAGTTCTTCTAAATTTTCTTCTACTTCAGTGGTTGTTTTCTTACAGTTAATTTTTATTTAATTTTGCCTTATATTTTTATGCCTTGATGAAGGTCTAATTTTGTGTAATTTTTTTCTTTCAAAAAT